TCTTAATCAGGATATTAATAAGGAACTAGCAGTTTATGAAGCTTTTGGAATAATCCACCAATTTTTTAAAATTAAACACTATCTAAAGATTTGCATCGAAGCGTTTTTTTTTGATAGTGATTTTAATCACTGTCAGATATCATTATACTTGATCCAACTATGCCACGTCACCACTGTGCCGCGACCCCCCTGTGCTGGGTTTTTTTTTAAATAAATTTTTAATTGTTTATAAATTATAATTATTTTAAAAATTATTTATAACTTATTTGTTATTAGTATTTAGGTATAAATTATTTTTTCTTAATAGCTTAAAAGTTGACAAATCAAATCAGTTTATGTTCACATCATTATTTTATTTATTTTTCACAACATGAAAAATTCATCCCGATAGTAAAGATGTAAGTATTTTTTATTTTTTTTAATTATAGGTACTATCCATTTTTTATAATACTGTAATAATTAGTATACTTTATACGAAAACAATTTGTATTTAACCAACCAATGGTAAAATTTTGAACTTGTAAGATTCATATTATGGGGTACTATTTAAGGACGAGTGGAGGGAGCCCCCCCACAAGCTTTTCATGGGAAACAAATTATGGAAAATGATACAAGGGCCCAAAATTGTTGGCCCCTCCAATAAACATTTTCTGGCTACGTGCCTGGTCGACAACCCCAAGTAATTGGGATTAAGGCAAGGAAAAAGAAAAATACTTATATAAATATAATACTTTAATATGTTAACAACAAATAATGTAAAACAAGTTTTTTTCTTTAATAATAACATTCAACTTTCTTATAACACTTAAAATCTTTAGCTGTATAAATATTTTGAATCCATAAATATTTTCTTATAAAATATAAACAATAGAAAATTAATTTATATTTATTTTCATAGTTAATGTTACATAGAAATTAAATATATATAATTTTACTTACGAAAAAAATGTTTCTGTTAAGTTTCCTAAAACTTTATATGATACTTTACAAGTTTTAGAAACGTATAAGTTCTTATTGTTATTATTATTAAATATCTTTAATTAAATTTTGTCATGTAGCTCAAGAGTTTAATTTAACAAATGTTTAATATAATAATTATTGAAAAAAATTAATTAATATGATAATACAATTTTAATGAGATTAATTTTAAAGATATTAATTTTTTTCAAGGATGATATCAAAACAGGTTTTATTTTGCCAATTAAAACAGGATGAAATCCTGTTTTATGGAAACTTATGACGGTCAGAAAATTATACGTCATCTAATTTTGTTCAACTGGTCTATTGTAAAATTGCTTACACTATTTAACTCAAAACAAGATTTTCAAAAGAGGAAGGGCAAATCTGTTCAAACTGACGAAGGTCAACCGTTTTATTTAATTTTTTATATATTCCTTCCTTAAGTGATATTATGTACTAGCATATCAGTTTAGTCTATACTTATTGCTGGTCAATACTTCATCTATTTATTATTATCCAAAATAAAAAATGTTGTTACAAACACCAAATGAAGTTCAATTGGAGAATTTAAAAAAAGAAGAATTTTATCAACCACCTGAACATGTCGAAGAAGACGTAACTCAGCTTATTGAGTGGCTTTCAAAACAGCCACACTTACCTAATGTTACAGGTAATTACAACGGGAATAAATATTTAATTATTAATAATTAGAAACTAACATATAAAAGTTATTTGAGGTTGCTGTAGTTAAATGCAATTAAGAAAAACAATTATAATTTTTTTTTTTTTAATTTTATTCTTAAAAAAAGTTGAGCGATATTCAACAAATATGTTAATAATTATATTTTAAAAAACTACAGCGAATTTCTTCTTCTCCTTTATCTTTATCCCAACTACTTGGGGTCGGTCATCCGTAACCTCCACTAAACAAGATCTTCTAGATTAACTATACACACACCAACAGTCCTCGTATCATCCCCGATTACATCCAACCACCACTCATTCGGTCTTCGCCTTTCTCTTCTTCCTTCAACGTTCATTTCCATAACAGTTTTTACAGCTTCCGACTTTTCTCTCCTCATAATAAGACCGAACCATCTAAGCCTATTTTCTCTCATCTTATCTACGATTGTCGATACTCCCATATTTCCTCATAAATATAATCCTATTTTCCCTCGTCAATCTATTCATCCATCTGTGTGTTTTTTTTATAACTGCTACACTCATTTTTTGCTCAACTTTCTTGCCAACCGACTAACATTTTAAATAATACAACTTAGTTAATATTACTATAGTTTTATAGAACTTGCCTTTTATTTTATAGGGATTCTCACGTTGCACAAATCACCAGACACTTTTCACTATTTAACTCACACACACACTTAGTACTATATACAAAATCCTCGTCAACAATAATACCGTTCTTTTGTGTAAATTATTATAAATATTTAAAACTTTCCATCTCTTCCATCATGTCCTCGTTTATTGTCATTACACACTTCGTTTGATTGCCCTCGTGTTTTTTCTCGTCAAACTCATACTCTATATATTCTATTTTACTTTTGTTACTCCTTAATTCCTTTCTGTCACGTCTAAAGCCTTTGGTGAACTTTCTCCCTATTTCTCCTATTAACACACTACATCATCACCAAATAACATGCACTATGGTACCTCTCTTTGTATTCCCTTAGTAATATAATTCATCACTATAATATAAGTAAGGTCTTAAAGCAAAACCTTACCCTGAAATCCTCTGTTTCTCCACACACACGTACTTTCATACATATCCTTTACTACACCAATATATGTATTTGACTTGAAAAATTATAATAAAAACATTTCTTATGTATATTTTATTAGAAATTTTAAAAATAGAGAATTGGTATATCTTTAAAATACGTACATGTAATATTTCGAAAACAACGAAAAAAACAAAGTGACGATGTTTAATCGTCTGCTAAATAGTAACTTAAAAATGTTTTGAGAATATTTCAACATTTTTTTACATTTTTCAACATTTTAGAATATATTTAGTATACATATTTTGTAAATATTATTTACAAACTATTAAAATGTTGCATCAAAAATTTTATCAATATTATGACAAATGTTTAGATAGACAGTGGCTAACTAATTTTATAGTTGGATGCAAGTATAACTTACAAAAAGCCAAAAAAGTTATTGAATCTTATTTCGTGGTGAGATCAGAATTACCAAAATATTTTGGCTCCGTAAGTGAAGAAGAACTAAAAGAAATTACTAAAACTGGGTAAGTTTTTGAGTACAAATAAAATAAAAATTCATATAAACAAATAGATTTCAAAAATTAATTTATTTCTAAATTTATTATTAATTAATTTATAAAATTTTATATAATTTAATGTATTTAATTTATTACTCAATTTTTAAATTATTAAATTTTTGTTGAACTCATCCCTTACACCTTAGAAATATGTCAAAATTATTTTTTAAATAATCACATACATATTTATGTAGCTAATAAAATAAAAAATGGTCTAATTAAAAAAAATACTAGTCGATGTCAACTTTTAACACATTACTTTGGAAGATTTAACTATTTTAAAATATAATGTTTAGACTATTTTATTTTTATCATTACGCATTACTCTGCTACATTCTCCTTCACACTATATTTTAAAATATTAATTACTTCTGAAGTACAATTTCAAAAGTTGTGATCGACCAAAGATTTTCTTAATTAGATCATTTTTTATTTTATTAACTAGTTAAATATGTATATTATTATTTAACAAATTATGTTAACGCCCTTATAGGAATAAGAGATGAATTAAACAAAAACTTAATAATTAATAAATTGATAAAATAATTAATAAAAAATATCATAAAGAATTTTTTTAATATAGTTATTATTTTAAGAGAAATAATGTGGTTTATAGTAAAAGAATCACTCTTTATACAAAAACTCATAACTTTTTATAATTTCACTGTAATAATATCAATAATGAATTATTAAATATCAATTTCATACTAAATTTAATCACTATAATAAGTATTTATTTGTGTATTATACAAATAAATAATAAAACTTATGTATTGTGACTTCATGTTGCTTTTGGAATAATTCAATAATTCCTTCTAAAACTTTAACACTACAGATTTGCATCAAAGTGTTTTTTTATGATAGTGATTTTAATCACTGTCAAATATGATCTATACTTGTCCCAACTATGACACGTCATCACTGTACCGCGAACCAACTTTGCTACTGTTTTTTAGCTTCGATGCGTTAATGTTTTTCAATGAAATTTATCTATACTGAGTGATTTAGCATGATCTTACGAGTCTTTTTTAGTCCAAATTCTAAATAATATTATACATTTATTAAAAATTATTTAATATTAAATATTGCACAATGAGTGCAACAGGGTCACATATCAAAATTCGTGATCTTTGACATTTTCAAATAATTTTATGTAGTTAGTTTATTATTCTCTATTTGAATATTTAAGAAACTTTAATGAAAGTTGACTTGATTTTTATATTATTATATATAATTTTAGGTATATAAGTTTATTCCCGAAGTTAACGCCTAATGGTGATCGAATATTTTGTATAAGGACCCAGCCTACGTTTAATGATGTTAATTTTAATGTACAGTTAGCACTTAAATCAGGACTGTCAATTTTAGATTTGCAATTGAAGGAAGAACCTCTTTCCCGAAACGTATTTATTTTTGATTTAGAATATTTTCAGCTGTCTCATTTTTTGTCCTTCACACCTCAATTGGCTAAACATTTTATACACTGTACTGTTGTTAGTAACTTTATTAAAATTAATAATTCATACAGCAAAGTCTTCATCTGAATTATTTTTTTAGGGCTCGTTTCCGTTGAGAATAGAAAAAGTTCATTTTGTGAACCCACCGAAATTCATTGGCCGTCTTTTAAACTTTATTAAGTTATTTTTACCAACAAAAATATTCGAAAGAGTAAGTTTACATTTTCAATGTTTTTTTATCCATCCGAAACGTTATTTTGAACAAATTATAATCAAATAAATACAAAACTACATTGCGAAATATGTTATTATAGATTTTATAATAATAACAAATTTGAACAATGTAGATAATGTTTTATAAAAAACAAATAGTAAAAAAGATTGGTGCGAAAATTGACACTAATCTATGCTGTGTCTAAATAATGAATAAAACCACTTTAAAACAGAATAATTTAAAATAACTTTTAAAAATAAAATGAAATTATATCGTGTTTCACAAAATTAAGATCGGTGTTTTCATTATCATAATAAAATTTCTGCTGATAACAATTATACATATTTAAATATTTCTGTGTAGTTAATTGCTCACGAGACATTTGACACTTTACACGACTACATACCCAAAGATGTTTTACCAGAATGTTATGGTGGGACTGGTGGAAGTATCGAAAAAATTGAAGGTGAACATAAACATCTTATAAAAATTATTTATAAAGAATTAAGTGATCCTGAATTTTTTTTTCAGAGTCGTGGATAGAATTTATTCTTCAAAATAAAGAATGGTTGGATAAACGACCGAAAGCCGATTTGTCAAAATGTCCCGTTAATGTAAAAACCGATGATTTAGGTATAAATGGAACATTCAAGCAGCTTACATTTGACTAATAAGGTTGATGTTATATTATTGGCAAGAACTTTAAAAATTAGTTTTCCTTTGTCACAAAATGAAATTGTTATTTACAATTTAACTCTGTGTAAATTTAAAAAAACAAAAAGTTTTAACAAATATGTAATAATTGATTTATATTCAGACCAGAAAAGAAAGATAGTAGAAATACCTCATCAGATATTTCAAAAAAACAAAATATATTAATCTAAAAAATATTAGAAAGAAAGGAATTAAATGTAAACTTCCTCAAATTTTATTATTTCAGTTACAAATGTGTACTTAATTTTAAGTATAAATCTTAATAATTTTGTTTATAATTACAGTACAAATACTGAATTATAAAATGTTTTATGAAATAAATATAATTTTCAATGTTTTAAGGAGGCTAAAATGTTAATAAAAAAATCTTTAATCTTGTGTTATGCCCATCATTTCAAATAAAAAATGTATGTAAAGTTCATATACTTTCTATTAGCATAATATCATGGTAGTGGGGGAAAATCTCTCCCCTACATTATCTACTGAAAGTTATGTGGAACATCTTATAATACATTTCTAATCCTGCCACCCATTTTATTAATTTATTAATATTAAAAAACAAATAATTTATCAAGCATTTAATGTTTGGGTGAAACTTTAAACATAGAAATTGTAAAATTTCAAATATACTAATTACTGTCGAATTTAACAGATTTACTTCGGAGCGTTTTTTATGATAATGATCCTATTCGTTGTCAGATATAATCTCGAATAACTTAAAGAAGCAATATTTTTTTTCAATATATTTATTTGGAGAGTAATCGAGTGGTTAATGGTAATTTCTGTATATACTGTTCTAACTATATTGTGTTTTTATAGAACATGTTTGATATACAAATCGTAAACGCTGATATTTGGGGTAATCGAGGGGCATGACGTCTCTCTCTGAAATTTAAATAATGACTTTTTTAATAATAGTGTTACCTTATCGATACCTTACAATTATCTATAGATATGACCAATGCAACGAATATAATGTTATTTATACTTTTTTTTAAATGTGAGCCTAAATTTGACTTTCAATAACCTAACAGTCTTAGTATTCCAGTCTTTAATGGACTGGAATATTTGTCTAATTAATGGCGTCACGTTAATATAATTTAATGGAAATGAAAAGTATAAACAAATTATGCCAAGTTTTCAAGATGTCATTTGATGAGGTAACATGCATACTTAGATGCGTTAGAACGGCAAGACAAACTCGCTATGATCAATTTGACAGTATATTTGAAAATCCAAACGTTCGTTTAATTTATTTTAAAAGTATTCAAAAATTAATGTTAAGAACGGCGATCTCATTGTTATGTTTAATAGCTAAAACGAATATGCTTGCTAGATAAGACATACCTGTAACTTGATTTATTTGTTTCCGTTCTAATTTCTAAAGTACAACACATAAATTCGAAATATAGAGCACACTCGTATTTTGATGAGAACCAAAAAAAATTATGATTTCATTGATGTATATATTTTTTTGTACATGTGTTCATAAACAACTCATTTATGTCAAGACAAGTTTTTATGGAATATTTTAACACATGTCTGTCTTTTTTAAATGTTAAAACTGTTATCAGTGACCGAGTTTTTTTTAATTTTTAATTTTGATAGCANTTGTACATGTGTTCATAAACAACTCATTTATGTCAAGACAAGTTTTTATGGAATATTTTAACACATGTCTGTCTTTTTTAAATATTAAAACTGTTATCAGTGACCGAGTTTTTTTTAATTTTTAATTTTGATAGCAAGGATATGATGAACATGGGAAAATTTTCACTAAAGCGGCAAAAGTATAAATCGTCCGTGTCTTTAATGTATCTATTATAACGTGTCAAACTTAAGTATATGGCAAAACACACGAGTGCGTTTTGACCTGTCAAAACAATTACACGGTTGAGGATTTAGAGTATTGATGGGTACTCTGTTGGTCTATCATTAAAGATAAAAACATAAAAAATACTACGCCGTCATTTGCGTTAGGTTATCGGTTTGCATTAGAAGTTAAAAGTATCATTCAATAGTTAAGATTTCGAAATGATTAGCATAGAGTTTATTTATTTTAAAGTTCATGTTAGTGTTATCGGCAATCTTAAACATTAAGTGCAATTCATATTTTTATTTATTTAGAGTTACACAAAGTAGCCATTTAATTAGTTAGCTGTATTGAAATTTTGAAAACTCAAAAGAAATTAAATCAAACAGCATAAGAAACGATTTAATTGAATTGCCGTACAATAGTAATTTACCTAAACTAGGTAATATAGTCATCGGTTTCTTTTATTAGTAATAAACATTAAATGTTCATTAAAAATATTCGAAATAATAATTACATGTGTTAATACGTATTATATCATGTGTAATTAATCTACAATCATTATGAAATCGTTTAGCCCATACATTGTCAACGGATCGCTGAGCGAGTACGATAATTATGGGACTGATACGGTATCGTACAGCGGAAAAATACCACATAGAAAAAACCGTTGCCAGCGCCAGCTGCACCGTCGACGACGGTTGACCCCCACCACTTGGTTTGAACCATCGGCAGACGTTGGAGCGGCCGTTCGATGGCATTCGACCATTTGCGGATGTGTGGTCGACGTTGCCGGTCGTTGTCGTGTGTCCGGTTGTAATGTAGCTGTGTGATTAGTGGCGTAACGCGGGAGATAATATTTTGTTATTTTTGTGATTATTTGTTTTTTTGTTTTTAAATTAATTTTCCGCGTGAGTTTGTTAAACAATTGAATATCGCCCGTTGTTCACGCGTATTATTGAATACTGCGTGTAAACACGATTAACAGTGTTTGTGTCGATTGTCATTGTCTTTGGAGTAACGACGAGAAATCGTTATTTCCATCGTTGAGTGTCGTTGACGACCGTCGGTTGTATTAGATCGCAAAACGCGCGTGTTATCCTGTATTGCCGCCGTCGGCATGAAGGAGGTGGTGTCCGTTAATTTGACGACGCCGCCGCCGTCACAGCCGCAGCTGATAAGGGCCAAACAACCGGGATACCTGGATTTGACGACCGAACAGGTGGACAGACTGATCAGCAAGGAGCCCATCGACAAGGATTACGAGGTGGAGATTGAACCCTTTGCCAGGTAAACAAACAAGCTGTTCTTGTTATTAAACGTCAATCTCGTTAAGCGCCAATAGTCGACATAAACGAGTTGCAATTAATATTTACTCGAATATAACCACAACAAAGGTAGTCGGATGTCTTGGTTTTGTTTCCTCCGACCAATATCGACACTTGAGTTTAGCTTGTTCAATTTAGCTGTCAAATCTAATACTAATTTAATACATTAGTTATTTGCATGGATATGCTACGTCTTGCCGGCGTATTAGTAGATTGTAATCGGTGCCAATTTTTTTCTCGTTTGTTTTAACGGTTAAAATATTGCGTGCGAGCGGGTTTACAAGAAGTAAGCTATTTGATGAGGTTTTAGCCCATTCACTTTGTCCCGTCTGTGAGTCATACGCGTACACATATACACCAGTCCGGCAGGTACCTGCGGCATCCGTTTTATCGTTTGTAGACTACTCGTAGGAGGAGGGGATTCAACGGTTGTTTCGACTATAATATTATGCTGTTACTACATATTTATTTTTATTTATTACGTTGATGGCAAAGATATACCCACACAGTGGTTAATTGAAAGCTGGGAGTCGTTTAGTTTAGACACATAAATAAAAAAAAAAATGATCAAATGAAACGTTTTTTACTAAAAAAAAAATTGTTTGTTAATACAATATATGTTTGTTTTTTGTTCTCCGCCAGACGTTTGTTGCGTTATTACTCGACCGACGTCGCCTCTATAATTGGATCCCGTAAATCTTCTTTGGAATTCCTCTCATTGTAATCACACGGACGTCAAATAAAAGGGTAGGCGGTCGGTCGCGGAACACCGAAGAATTAAGGGTCGGTGTGCGCACTAGGTCCGAATTAATGTGCTAGAGGAAAAAAGATACGCACTGAAGTCAAAATCGCGGCTCTCGCCGATTTCAGCGATTGTCATCACGTAACAGATATCCGTGGTTTTTTAATAGCATGGAACTGTTGATATCTACTTTATTATAATGGTGCATCTCTATGGATGCTAATCGTTAATTATCTCTAGGGAAATCATTCAATGGTCTGTTTAATGATAGCTCTTATCAAGAATTCATTTGATTGGTTTTAGGTTATATTATAGACTATTCTTTGCCTTGTATCTCTTATTATTTTTGTCGCCATAATGAAATCTCTTGTGCATTACAGTCAATATTCATTTAAATTAATTATCTAGTTGGATTTAATCTTTATGGTGTCAATTTATTCTGTAGTGGCACACCAATAAATTGTTTAGTATTGATTTTAAAATCAACAGCAAAGTGTTATATATTTTTTTAAACGATGATTTTATCACTAAATGTCACTCGTTAAATTATAATTGCACTTCAATGACATTAAGTATTTACATAATTTCATAGTCGTAGATATATTTTCAAAACTTCAATGTTTAACTTTAAAATTGTGTCAATACTTAAAAACTATTAAATTATTTGTGGTTGTGGCAATCATTTTAAATAGAATTTTTCTTATAAATTTATAGTTGATTCTCATTTTTATGATTTTTAGAAAATAGTATTTGATGGGATGGTCTGCGCATCGTTAGTTTTTAATATTTATGTAGCGAGTTACGGATGATTTTCATATAAAGATTTAATTGGGCATCACGAGTTCAAACGTCCTTGGCAAGGTCGTGTCATCACTGTAACGTACGTTTCTGATGACATAAGACAAGGGCATCCCCCTGTGCCGGTGGTTGACTCTGGTCTCCCTCTCCACGTATGTTGTTCATGGTAACCATTGGCGGGCATTGCAGTCATTGTAATTTCTGCGAACTCCCGTCGCTGTCGGTCCGATGAGACGGAATGCCGTCAGCAATTTTTTATTTTTTTTTTTACAATTTTATACGGCAGCCCGGTAGCTAAAGAATGTAGTCGCCGTGTTATCGGTGAAAGCACATTCACAGAGACTAATCTGGACGTGTTCGTTTCACTGTTTTTATACTCGACACGGATAAAAGCTTTCTATGTTTATCGATAAGATCGAACTAAAGCTGTTACAAAAAAGATACATTTATTTGCGATTTTTTTTACCCAACGAATGAAAATTTTAGGCCGCGCTATTCGCCCGTTTGACAAGTCCGAATCGTTGACTCAAGTGAGTATTTTTGTGTTATAAGATGTGTGTAACTAAAATAGCAAATTGTATCGCTGTAAAGTCGTTGTCATAATGCGGCGCCATGCGGATTTGTCTGCGACCTCCATCGCGGTTTGTTACGCAACTCTAAGTGCGGAATAACAATAATAAACCTTGCACGGTACATTCTTCTTGCTGTCTTTGGATGACACCCAAATGTGAATACCGGCTGAATCGTGTGCACGTGAACTCCCTAAGTCTCAGTCCGGTCGATTGTGGAATTTGGTCCGACTTTCTAAATTTTATTTCTTTTCTCTCCCCCGCACAACGCTGACAGTCATTTCCGCGTCTACTCGAAGCGATTAATTTAAACATTTGTACACGAATACGGGCACTTGATTGTTGTTATCATGATTCTTTGAATTGATATTTAAAGCTGTACAATGTTTCCTGGGCTCCTATGTACCAGCATACGATCCAACGTTACATAATTTGTCCGAACCTAATAAAAACAAACTGTTATTGTACTCATTTACTCTGCGTTATTGTCGGTCGCGTCCGCGGTATTCATCAATTTGTGGGGTTTATTTTTTTGTTTTTTACTCGTGGGTCGTTATTTTTTAGTATCTCGTTTATTTATGGCCGTATATAATATTAGGGAAATAGGCGGAACAGTGTGTGTAGTTAACTCAAACCGACGCACAGAGGTATGGGACGAGAAAACTTAAAATAATATTTTTTTGACCCGCCAGTCATTGCAGCATTGTACGGAATACGTACAGTTTCTTATGGCCTCTATTATACTGTTTATCTGTGAAATATTTTTGCTATACAAACACAATTAGCAAGTAAGGTACAACAATCAGTCGTGTGTTAAAAGCGGTTATGATGCGGTAAGTGTGCATGAAAACGGATTATGTCATTGCGCAAACGTACTCACATTCTTAGCATTGTTCTTATCGTCGACTGTGGTCCAGAGGTCGGAGGATTCATGAGTTAAAGCGATTTATTAGCTTTGCCGTTTCTTGGCAACCTATGCAAGATACCACCATGTAATGAATCATTATTTATTACTTAACGCATTCGCGGTAAAAGTTGGTTGTCCGGGGTATGATTTTATAACAATAGTTTTTCAACGTAAAAAAATATAATATTTCCTGTCTTTGATTCGGTCGGCAGTGACTTAATTGGAAGTTTGTAACGGATATATATTAATAATCCAGAGTGCTTTTGGTTGTGTATTTAAAAAATAAATAAATCTGTGATTATAAACGGTGTTTGGCGACAACATTCTCTCCCTAGGATATTTCCGGTAAACGGAAATTCAGCAGATGTTCTTCTAATGGTTGCTGCCACGACCGTCACAACTACAGCCGACACTTCATAACATCGCAGTTGGCGTGCAGAAACAATATATAAAATTAAGTAAAAGCCAATGCCAACGAAACAATAGCTGCTGTTAGTATTTCCTGTCATAGGTCGCTTATCGCCAACCGTTCTCCGAATCCATAATGGTATTTTTCATAGTTGGACTTTGCGTTTTGTCGGAGGTAAAATGATTACAATTGTTTATAGGCGACAAAACGTAAAATAACATTGTCCGCAAAAATTCTTAGAAAATTGGGTCAGTGACATTAACTGTGGGTGATTTTTTCTATCGTTTCTATTATTAATATCTGGGTTTTTTACCTTTGCAATGTTTCTAAGTCATGTATCTCCTATTAAGGAAAACTGATCGAGATTTTTGCTCTAAGTGTTATCGGAATAAAATTTTTAGGGAAATTCTAAATAATATAATATTTTTTCAACTAAAATCGACAGTAGAGAAATTGTGAATTTATTCAATATTCAGTCATTGTACTTTTAGTATCTTAATAATTGATGGAACATTAACTGCGTACCGTTAAAATTAGTTTCTTAATACTCGATAATCGTGTTTGCATTTAATGCTACACATATATTTCAGCAGTCAAGCAAAAAATGTGATATTCTGGCAAATTTTAATGTGTTTTACTTAGGGGAGAAAATGTGTTAAACGAGATTACAGTAATAATAATTGAAATTCCAGTCATAACAATGATTTACCGTAGTTAATTTTAAATGCGTTATCGTGTTATTTTTGTACCGATTTTTTTTGTGGGACAACATTATGAGTTGTGTATAAAACTAAGTAGACATGCATAGGTTTATCTACTGGCGATAATATGTGAACTGGTGTTCGCTACGAAGACAGAAAGGATATTTAATTTTCAATTATATGCAGCAATGTAGTCGTGCTATTATGTAATGTCTTCTCTTCAAATTTATGTTTAATTGCCTTTTTGTACGAGTATATTGTGTATATTAATATATGTTGAATAACTTACTTATGGGACTAGTGTATGAGCGACTGTCGTTTAAAACATTTTCCTGAGTATTGGCACTTGTATACCAAGAAAGAAACTAGGATTAGGAGGCTTTATTCATTTTTGAATGTCTCTCTTCTTGGTAATGATACCTATGTCATGTATACACATACACATGTATCAGCCTAGTTGGTTGTTCTCTATTATCAATAATATCTTAACTCAAACCACAAAATTCTTACTTAAAAAAAGATTATGCCAAGTTGAGGCGACGGAATATCTGTTGAAACCGCATGAAGTATTGTTTAAAACTATTACAATGAATACTTAGAATATTGTAAAAAATTTTAGACCTACAATTCGATCGTTTTACCTATCAAATCCTAGAGGATCGTTTTATTAATATTACTGTTCATGTATCAACTACCGTATAGCCTATGCATCTATACCTTCGATCTCTTTTACCGTTGAAAATAAATGTATTAAATGGCAAGAACTAGTTTTCTGGTAGGTAGGTGATTTTTTTTTTTTCATTGAAACGATCCGTTAACCACCGTCGTCATCTTGA